GGGGAGATTTGAAAGCTTATGATTTTTCTTTTTTGCCTCCCATAAGTGCCTTCGGTAAGTCTACCCTGAAAAACAGCCCGGCAGTTTGTGTAAAAGCATTATTTATTAATTTTTAAAAAATCAAAGGCGAGATGACTGGTGTCTGTGGTGTACCAGTCAAGGGCTGAGCCGTGGCACGCAGGAGACCCGTGTTCGATATCCTAGTGAGGGTAATTTTCATCGAGCTCTCGATGTTGGGATTGTGTGTCCCTCTCAGTCAGGATCGAGGCCAGCCATCGAAACGATCTAAATGGTTTCACTTTGGACGTAGAATACACCTACAATTAAAACAATAATTAATTGCTCTTTTTACCTGGCGTGATATTCATAGCAGACGACCAGCGCGCTATCATATAACGTGGGATTGTGAAAGTCTCATTAACTCTGGAACGTTTTGGAAAGTTGTAATTTTTTTTAAAACCCCAAAAATTAAAAGAAACAAAAACAAACAAGACTTGATTGAACGACAAGGGTGATCAGTGATTGATGAGGGAAAGTTTATTTGGGGAATGGGTGGGCCGAATGTCATAAATGCCCATTCGGCCCCTGGCACCTCCCGACCGTCTCACCCCTCCCGACCGTCTCACCCCTCCCTCCAGGGTCAATTTCTTTTCCTGGCTTCAGTGTGAAAAAAAAGGTGTAATTGTCATTATTTTTTACCCCTTTCGCCACAATTAAGATAAACTGAAAGGCGAGGTGCTCCGACCCTGCATGTCAGGGTCAATTCAAGTTGAGAGTGACAAAACAGTTAAGAAAAGAAACAGGCACAGTAAATAAACTTTCCCACTCGCTCATCGAACACATCTTCTGTTACACCCGAGAAGCAGGTTTCTGTACCTACGTATAAAAAGAACAAGCATATTAATTAGAGTGCTACAATCGTTGGGATGTTGTCACACGTGCAATCACGTTTAAAGTATCATCAGTATTTTCATTTCTATCGTCGGTATGCTATGGCGCTCATATGACCTTATGCAGTTGCGAGCGCCGTAAAACCTCTACTAAAACGAATTAGTCGGTATGCTATTCATTTGAATGTACATCTTGAAATTTGAAACTGTGTTAGTGCGTGTTTTCCTCCTTCCAATGGGGCATCTGTGTGCCCTTGTAGTGTAGGTCCTGCCAAGCACACGGTGGTTGAAACCAGCTCGAGCCTAAAGAAGATTTTAAACTCTTATAGCACTCTAAGGGTAAGGACATTATGTTTTGAAGGGCTCTGTGTACAACGGGTTAACGCCAAACACATAGAATGAAAGTATGGAAATATTAATTAGAATATGTAATGTTTCATCTAAGATAAATCTCACTTCTGTTTTTTAAAGCAAAATGAGACGACACGAGGTTGACCAGTGTGCTTACAAACTGGCTCGAATATTCTTGATGTTTATGCTGTCTTGGTTTCTTTTTCAAATAGAAGTAAGTTTGTCACTTTGCTTCGTCTCCTCGAACTCACGATACGTCACATTATAATAATTATGTAAAATAGTGTGCTATGATGTAAATCACCCGCAAGCCGTTCAATTTTTCAGAAGACTGATAAAAACAATTCTGAAAAAAAAGTATTTACCTTATGTATATTTTTGGGTGCTTTTTGAACATTTATAATTTTAATTTCTACAAAAATATTTTTTGAGCACATGCAACCGATAAAAAAATAATTAAGAAACAGCAATTTACAATTTAAAAAATCAAAATTTTAAGCTTTGTGCACGCTGACAGCTGGCTGAGGAAATGTCACCGTCCTTGTTTTAGACGTTTATTTATTTGTTGTTTTTTTAAAGTACCTAAAACAGGAGTGAACCATATTTTTACAGAACACTCTGCTAGCTCATTTGGTATCATCCTGGATTGAGTGCGAATGACCTTAGTTTGAACCCCTAACGAGGTGATCTGAAATTTTTTTGTTTAGGGGGCAGGGGCCTAACTGGGCTATCTGGAATTTGATTGTTTAGGGGGCCAGGGGGGGGGGGGTGTTTAGCGCTGCACCCATTTGGCTATGTCCTGTTATTGGTGATGGAGCTTAATTTTGGAAGCTTCACTTTTGAATAACCTCACACTGTTGAAATATACTATTTTTTTTAATATAGTAGAAGGTTTTACGGCGCTCGCAACGGCATAAGGTCATATGAGCGCCAGTTGAAATATACGTTAAAACTGTACAACCTCTCTCTCTCTCTCTCTTTCTCACTCATGCTCTCTCATTCTCTCTCGCTCTGTCTTTCTATCTGTATGTATGAGTGTGTGTGTGTGTGTG